ATTCTAAGCAAGTTCATGTCTGCCTTAGAATATGCAACTTTACTTCATACAAACAAAGACACCCTTACCCCCTCCCCAAAATGGGGAATGTTAATTCTTCTTTTAGGTCGATCACAATCTAATTTGATGGAACCATGCAATGTTTCCCTGGTGCAAGCATTCCTGTCTTGGGAGCTAAGACCTCTGCAGGGACAGAAAGCAAAAATTCTGTAAGTGGGTAATTAGAGGTAAATGTGAAAGGAGGCACTGCCACTTTTTTTTTTTTTTCTAGAAATGAATATTCTATCCATGGGAAAAAATAGCATCATATTATGATAGTGGTTAAAAGCATAAACCACATCCATTTGGATAGCATCCCAGTCTCTCACGGTATCATCTGTCAGATGGGGCCATCATGGAATATTCAGTTGGTTATTCCACCATTTTATCAGGGAAGCTGCTTCTGGGTGATGAAGTACATGGCAGGCTTCATGGTAGTTAGGGAACCAGGCCAACTGACATCCGTAGAACAGGTCATCTTGTCCGTCTGTTTTCTGAGAGCCTCCTCAGCAATTAGTACCCTTTATTAAGCATTCACTCGACTAACAACTCACATACACCTGCCCCTTCCCCATCTGCCTTTTGGTTACCAGTGCTTCTATTTGGTCCTTTCTAAACCCTGAGCATTTGGCCAACTTGTTAGCTATTGTCCAAGAATCAGAGTAAAACCATACCTGTGCCTATCTCTATGTCCATGGAAAGTGGACAACCAGATGCCCGCCAGGGATATTTTCCCTTCCCATTGCCTTTCAGGGACACTCCTGATTAGAGTTGTGATGTTTCAGCCATCCACTTCCAGCTGGTGCCAACATATCATGCAGCACCATCTCTAAATCAGGCCTTCACTTTTTCTTCCTTAGTCAGCTAGTTTTTCTTCCTTACTCATCATGGGGCCATATGTGTGAGTTGAGGAAAGGCAGCAATGTACTGTGCTACCTGCTCATTTAGGACGTGTTCACTTTAATCTTGTACATAACACTTCCTCTTGATGATGGAGTGCTGCTGCACATGCCCAAATGTATAATTTTCTGCATTAGTAACACCCATGACAGGCATCTCAGGCATGGCCACTTGGTGTCCCATGGTCAGCATCAAGCTCTAAGAGAGCTTGGTAGCATTCCAAAAGCTCTTTTTCAAAAGGAGAATAGCTATCTGCTGGAGAGGTGTGATACTTAATTTTATGTGACGACTCAACTGGTCTGCAGTGTACAGGTGAGCTAGAATTCCACATCAGGCTACCTGGCTCCAGAGTCTATGCTTATAACTATATGCTGGTCTATATCAACTTTTATCTCCTTGACCATTTTAAACATACTTAGTTATTAGTCTATCAGGTTTTTATTCTATTTTCTGAAATTCTTGAGGTTCTAATTCTCCTGTTTGTATGCCTGCTCATTCTTCTATAAGGAATGATTTCTTTGTATGTTTTTTCATTTTTATTTATTCCTTTATCAACACTGACTGAGCATCTACTGTGTGGTCAAGTACTGTTCAAGGAGCTGGGAGTATTAACTAAACAAAACAGGCAAAGTTTCTGTTCTTTAGGACGTTAAATTCTAGTAGGAGAAAACTAGTAAGCAATAAACAAAGAAGGGGATAGAGAGTGGGAGATGGTGCTTATGTAGAATGGTAAAGGGAAGCACCTCTGATGAAATGATATTTGACAAGAGACCTGAAAGTTGTGAGAATGTGAGCTGCATATATATCGGGAGGAAGAATTTCCAAGCAGAGGAAATACTAGCGCAAAGGCTGCATGGCGGGAACATGCCTTGAATGTTCGGGAATAAGCAGAGGTCCTTGTGGCTGGAATGTAGTGTGTGAGGGCATAGCAGAAGTGATGGGGGCAGAGAGGTACCAGGAGTTGGAAGATGTAGATCACATAGGACCTTTTAGGTCATGAGAAGAACTTTGGAGTTGGGCGGGGAACCACTGGAGGGTTTTGCACAGAGGAGTAACATGATTTCACTTATGTTTTAGAAGGGTCACTCTGGCTGCTGTATTCAGACTAGACTGAAGTTGCAAGGAGACTAAGAGGCTGTTGATGATAGGTGACGGTGACTTGGTTCGAGGTGGTAAGAGCAGTAGTGGACAGAAGTGGTAAGAATTTTAGATTGGTTTTGAATGTAAAGCTGCAACCTGGAGTCAAAGATGACTCTTAATGTTTTTAGTCTAAACAGCTGTTTCCTGGGATGGATAATACTGTAGGAAAGACAGGTTTAAGGTGAGGATGATTGAAGAATATGATTTTGAATGTGCTGAGCTTAGGGTGCCTATGAAGCATCTAAGCAGACATGCAGCTAAACAGATATCTGAGTCTGAGGTTCAGGGAAGAGGTCAGGCGCTAGGCATGTAAATTTGTGAGTCATAAACTCAAAGATGGTATTTAAAACTATGAGACTAGGTGGGCTCACCTAGGGAATGACATAGGTAGAGAAGAGGTCTGAGCCCCATGGCCTGGGGCATTCCAGCTGTAAGGGAAGAAAAATTTTCCTTGACCCTCTTCCTGGCTGGGTCTAAAAATTTAACCGACAAAGGCAGATTAACAGGAGAAACAAACAAATTTACTTAATCTAAGTTTTATGTGACATGGAAACCTTTATAAGGAAATGAAGAAATAGTTATGCTAGATTTGATAAGGAGAAGACAGTTGTGAACATATGGTAGGTTAAGGACTATGAGGTAAGTTTAGTAAACTGGGTGAAACTCAGTAAAGCCTTTGTTTAGATTCTTGTCAGTGTCCCTTTGTCTTCTGAGATTCGGAGGTGCCTTTCCTCTGAGTATAGGGAGGGCACTTCTCACAGAGGGTTTTATGACCTATTGCAGGGGAGAAGGGAGAGGGGTATCAGTGACCTTCCTGCTTCTGCTGTTTTCTCAAACTCTTTTAGTTCAAAATATTCAATATGCCAAGGTGCCATATGTTGGAGTAGCCTGTTCTGAATCCCACTTAGAGATTAGGAAAATGAAGACCCAGCACAGGAGACGGAGAAGGAGTGGTCAATAAGAAAAGAACCATGAAGAAGTTGTGTCCTGACAGTCAAGTGAAGAAAGTGTTTTAGGATGAAGGAAGTGATACACTATGTCAGTAAAATGAGGATAAAGACATGACCATTGGATTTACCAACATACAAGTTAGTAGTGATTTTTTTAAAATGGTGTTGATGAATGAGGATGAAAACCTGATTAGAATGGGTTCAAGAAAGAATGAGAGAAATGAAGACAGCAAGTGAAATAAAACAAAAAAACTCTTTCAATGAATTTTATCTAAAGGGAGCAGAGAAATGGAGTAGTAGCCAAGATAGATGTGAAATCAAGGAGAGGTTCTGTTTGCTTGTTTGTTTTAACGATAGGCAACATTAGACATCACGGTGGTAAGATATTGGAAATGATCCACTTTGTATAAAGAGGGGGATGATTTTGAGTCCAGCTTAAGCAGAGCTTATTTCCCACCTGGCCTGGGTTCTGAGCGCTTCCATCCAGAGCAGTTTTGCATTTGCTTCTGCAAGATGCCCCATGGGTACCACCAGTGTAGGACTAATTTGCATGTTAATATTTTAGTTTGAAGTTTCTCATAGCAAGTAGGTAAAATAAATTTGGACTCTAGAACCTCATAAGGCACAACCTTGGGTTCAATAAGTCACCTAGGGATAGTTTTTTCCTCTAACCAAGGCCCTGCAAAGACAACCTTTCTTTACCTTTTCCCTGGATTGATGGGCAGAGTTTGCTAGTCCCTTTTCATTAAAGTTGTGGTCCTTCGAGGGTACCAGCTTCTGTTACTGATAGAAACCCGAGCCCACATCGCAGTTCTGGCTCTGCTCCCTCTCCACTTCTGGCATCTAGAGATTTCTTAATCTTTCTTGCAAGCCCAGGCATTCACTTTAAAAGTTTTGGTTAAAGTTTAGCCAGCATCTCTGGAGATTGGTGACAGGGAAGTTTCAGCACTTTCCAGACTACTATTTTGCTAAAATAGGAAATATTTTTCTTTCCTTCTTCACCTGGCTAATTTCTGGTCATCTCTGAAGTTTCAGTTTAAATGTTACTTCTCAGAGAGTTACTCCCTAACCCTCTCCATCCCAATCTAAACTAGTTTACTCTTTTATACTACTCATGGCACCCTTTGTCTTAGCACTTGTCATTTATAACTTCATATGAGTATTTGTTTAATGCCTGATACTCTCTCTAAATAGAAAACTACATGAAGGCAAGAATCAAGCCTGTTTAATTCAGCCTATAGCAGAAGGCCTGGTTTATAGAAATGTTTGATAAAGTTTGGTAGCTGAACAAATAGTGGTGTAAAAATCTAACAACAGTACAGCATTAAATGATATCCGGACATCTATTATCCTCTGTGTCTCAGAGACTATATTCTCTAAGAAGAAAGTGTTTTTGGTTATTATAGTTGACTCATCTGAGAAAAACAATGTTATTTTGCATTTGGTAACCACATGTGTCTTTTCTCCTTTAGAATGGAGATCTCCTCTCATCAGTCTCAACTCCTGCAACAACTGAACGAGCAGCGCCGGCAAGATGTGTTTTGTGATTGTAGTATTCTGGTTGAAGGGAAGGTCTTCAAAGCACATCGAAATGTATTATTTGCTAGTAGTGGCTATTTTAAAATGCTTCTTTCTCAGAATTCAAAGGAGACAAGTCAGCCGACCACAGCTACATTTCAAGCTTTTTCCCCTGACACTTTTACAGTTATCCTGGACTTTGTCTATTCCGGCAAACTCTCTCTTACTGGTCAGAATGTCATAGAAGTGATGTCAGCTGCTAGCTTCCTTCAGATGACTGATGTCATCAGTGTATGTAAGACTTTTATTAAATCTTCATTAGACATTAGTGAGAAAGAAAAGGATCGCTATTTCAGTCTCTCTGATAAAGATGCCAATTCTAATGGTATAGAACGTTCCTCTTTGTATAGCAGTGGCTGGCAAGAAGAAAGCAGTTCTCCACATTCTCACCTCAGCCCAGATCAAGGAACAGGTATAATAAGTGGAAAATCTTGGAATAAATATAATTACCATCCAGCCTCCCAACGGAATACTCAACAACCCTTGGCCAAGCATGAACAAAGGAAAGATTCCACAAAAAAGTCCAAACATTTGAGGTTGTCACAACCTTCTGAAATTGCTCATTATAAGTCAAGCAAACGAGAAGCACGCACATCTGATTCTTCCAGCCACATTCCCCAATCTGAAGAACAAGCACAAATTGATGCTGAAGTGGACTCTCCTCCTGTTGGCTATCAGTACGGTCAAGGATCTGATGTCTCAACAAGAAGTTTTCCAGGTACCCAGAAAGAGAATTAGTCCCACTCAGGTTCCAGTACTCCGATATAAATTAATCCTATCTCAAATGCCCTTACTTTTAGGGGTTTTAGGGGTTTGGGGGTTGAACCGAGTGATTTTTTTTTTTAAAGTCTTACTTCTCTAATATAATTTATTTCTTAAAACAAATTTAAAAAAAATTTTAAATTTATAGTAATCTTGGATAAACTTAACGACAGTCAAAAAACAGTAGAGTTCTGAGGGTCAAAACCTACGATTTTTCCAAACCTGTATGTGTTGTTGATTACTGTTAAATGTTAAAAGCTCTTTTCTAAGTGGTTCAATCTCTGAGACATATTTTCACTTTAGTTCTTTTTTTTTTCTGAGTATTCATTTGGGAGAAGTATTTTTATACAGAAAAGTTAAATGGAATAACCATGCATATTTGCAAAGGTTCATATTTCCAATGTCCAAAGGAAATTAGACTAAATCTGAATTTATTAAGATATACCTAATTTAAAAAAATTTAACATACGAACCATAACATAGATACTGTAATTCATGTGCAGTGACTTGAGATATCTCATTTCTATGATAGCCATAAAATGCAGAATGATTATGTAGGTTGATAGTTTCAAAGTAATCTTCTCCTCGCCCCTTAAGACTGAAGTAGAGAACCAAGTTTGGAAATGCATATCATCCAGTTTTTTCCCTCAATTAATCATCAGTTATTAAATTTTCTTAATAGTTTACATGTGAACTTAAAGGAAAATTTTGATAAAGTGAAACTTGCAGGGTATAAGATTCAGATTATTTAATTTTTTTAATTTTAGAAAAATTTCAAACATAAACACAAAAAAATAGTATAATTAACCTCCACGCACCCATTACTCAGTCTCAACAACTTTCAACTCATCTCCAACCATTTCATCTGTACCTCTATTGCTAACCCTTCCCTTAAACATTTTTAAGCAAATCTCAGACATGTTTTCGTCTGTAAATATTCTAGAATGCATCCCTAAAATAGTCTTAAAAAAAACACTCCAATACATTAATGTCATTATTGCACCTAAACAAAATTAACAAGTCCTTAATATCACTAATAGCTAGTCAGTATTCACATTGTTCTATATAAATCTCAAGAAATGATTTGCTTGTAGATAACATTTTTAAATAATAGCAACCTGATGTTTACTAATCACATTTTCCTGTAGGATACTAACATGAAAATATATGAGATTATAGTATAAAGCTTACTGAAAATTCTGCTGAGCTCTAACCATTGACCAAGGCAAACAGAAATAACAACAAAAATGGGAAATCTATGTTGCATTTTAAAACAACAATAAAGTTATCTTTTTTTAATTTAGACTCTGCCCTTTTATAATTCTAGGTCATTTAAACCTAACTGCAATGATGAACAGCTGAATTAATAGCTGTTAAATTGATGAGGTTTGCCTCCTATCACATGTTGAATTCGTATAAGTTTTAAAATAAAAAATTAATGATCCATGAAATTTTTCACCTTTAAAAGTATTACAAGTGTATGAAAAATAAAGGCAAGGGGAATAAAAACATGTAAGTAAAAAAGTTACTTAAAAGCTTAAATATCAAGTACTTTTACTTTCGGATTGTATCTACAGTTTTAAAATCCAGTACTACCTTTTTACATTTAATATTTATTGACTTTCTGATATTTAATAAAAAGGTAAGTGTGACAGCTAAACTTACCTAGACTTTGTAAATATAAATACTTAAGTTATGGTTCTGTACTTTGGATTACATTGACAATCTAGTCTTAATACCATTTCTTCTCCTTTTCTCCTACCTTTTCAAAATTGGACTCACCAACTCCTTCTGGATTCTTTTTGCTATTGGAATTGCTGTGAAGAACTTTCCAGTGATTTAATCAAACTGTCTCCTGACAGGTGATATGCCCAGGATGAGATTCAAGTGCCCATACTGCACACATGTGGTAAAGCGGAAGGCAGACCTAAAGCGCCACCTTCGTTGTCACACAGGAGAAAGACCCTATCCATGTCAAGCCTGTGGAAAAAGATTTAGCAGGCTAGACCATCTCAGTAGCCATTTTCGAACAGTATGTATTTGAGTTTCCGTTGTACTTCTTAAGACACATGTGCATTTATTTATCTGCTTTAGGATAATCTAACTTGTTAGGGAAAATCTTCATAACTCTACCATATTAAAAATTTTTCCAACTTAATGTTTTTACTTTGCACACAATGCATAATTCAATATATGTGTGTATATATATTGATTTTTATTCTCTTTTGAAACATTGAAGTAAGAAATATGCTTTTGAATATCCATTTTAATGTACTTAAAATCTTATATAAATTTTTATACACTGGTCTTTTCAGAGCCAATGACAATGTAAACTGTAAAAATGTTTTAAATGTCTAGGTCAGAATCACCACTTCAGACACTCAGCATCTGCTAGTGATTCTTGAATCCTTATCTGGTAGGGTCTCAGTCTAGTTTCTGCTGTCCAGCCTCTTTCCACAACATCCCCTTTCCAGTGTCTCTCTAGTTTCTCAATATTCTCATCAAGGAAGGGAGCAAAGTGGGCACTTGAGCCACTCCCAGTTGGACGCTGGACTGTCAGCAAATATCTCAGAGAATTTGCTAGTGTTCTGGTGGTTTAATAAGGCAGTGACATTGGAACATTGTGAGAAAATAGAAGTAAAAATAAAAAAATAAAAATACCATATTTTTATCACCCAGATATTACCATTTTTAATATTTTATCATGTTTTTTTTTTACCAAGATGAGATCATACCGTACATGCTGTTTTGTAACTTGCTTTCTTTAGTCAATAATCTCTACCTTAATATCGCAATAAAATTTTATCTAACACCTAGTTCAGTTCCAAATTTCCCCATAGTCCTCCAAATATCTTTTACAGTTGGTTTGTCCAAGCCAGAATCTAATCCAGAACCATATATTCCATTTCATTATTCGATTTTTGAACTAAAATATGTTTTTAAGCTAGCATAATTTCTCGCTTCCTCCTTCTTTTTCATAACACTGATTTACTGAAGATAACAAGCCAGTTGTTTTACAAAATATCCTACCTCTGGATTTCTCTTATTGCTTCTAAATTTAGCTTATTGCTCTCTCCTGCTGCGTTTTCTATAAACTAGAAGTTTTATCTAAATCTTTAATGGATTCAGGTTAAATACTTTTGGCTAGAACACATTAAGAGTGAAATAGTATATTTCATATTGTGCCACATTAGGAGACACATAATATCTGGCGGACTCATCATTCTTGTTAAGATTGATCACTGGATTAGGGTGATGATACTGTGATTCCACCATTGTACAGTTAAAGGTGCTGCCTTGTGATTAGAAAGGAATCTGTGCAGAGATGTTTTGGTATTATGTGACTATCCATTTTCCCATTAACCATTCATTTAATCGTATTAACACTAACTGATAATCTGTATCCAAATTATTTTTACTTGGAGCTGTGGAATGATTTACTAATTTTATCCTCGCCTCTACATTATTAGCTGGAATTCTATAAAGTAAGGCTTTCCCTCATCACCTAAGGTCATTTAGTTACTTTGAAATAGGGTTCCTACAGGAGAAGCAGGATAAATGTTCAGTTCTTTTCCTTTAATTAATAATTTTTAAAGTAAAGAGTTTATTTAATAGTAGTCTCAAAAGATTTATGAGTTTTTATCTGGCTTTGTTTTTTTGAATAGCATATGATCTCATGAATTTTTATTGGTTCCTTGTGTTTAGATCCATAACAATTATTATTCTTTTCGATACTCAAATTTTCAGTTTTGTCCAGTGGGAACACCTTGAAGCTGGCTCTTGTGTCCTTTTGTTACAACTTCATTAGCTTTTCAGTGTCCTTGTTCTCTAGCTTCAAAAGAGTCCTAGGCTCACCATGTACTTTCCCTGCCACAAAACTAGGAACAGCCACTTCTTAAAGGAGCTTTGGTTCCGTTTAGTGAGGAATAAAATTAGAAACCAATATCTGGGCACCTAGGGTGCTCATTGTTATTAGGGTTTCATTCTTTTTAGACTGTTTCAATGAACAGAGCTAGAAGATATATTTTTTAAAATAATGAGTTTGTGATATTTTCAATTTTAACATTATAGTGTTTCACTTAATTTCTTTGACTGCATAACTGTATTGGAATTGGGGGCGAAGCACATGAATCTTGTGTCAGAACTTTGTAACAAAAAATGTGCCATGTATGATAATCATAAGGTTACTATGTCAGGAGAAATAAGAATACACTCAAATTGTGTACTTCCAATATTTACTGATTAATATATCAGCGGTTAAGCCGAAGGTAATAACTGTATTGAGTGATAGTTCCATACATTTTCTTAGATATTTTACCAGACTGCATTAGTTTTCTTGGGTTTTTTGATTATTTGTGTTTGGTGGCCTACTTCTATACTGTTCTGACTTTATCTAAATGAATATACCATAAATGTTAATTTAGCATTATACAATTAATTGTGATAGTTTTTAGATTAGACCCTATAATCTCCTGCTCTGATAGCTATTGAACAGTTATTACTAACTATAGTATAATTATTCATCAATTACAACTTTTCCTTAAATTATTTCACATCCGTTAATTCATTTGGCCCTCACAACCTGAGTTGTATCCCCATTAGTAGTAAGGAAGCAGGCAGGGATAATAATATGCTGATAGGTAGCAGAACCACCATAGTGGTTATTTATAACTAGTGTCTATTCTGATTAGTCAGGCTCTTATTCTTTTTGGGTGTTGCCTATACCTTACTAGTTAAGTATTTTGACTATCACCTTGGAAGCAGGTTTATAATGTTTTAAATTACTTGGTTAGTTAATGACAGGTTAGTAAATGACAAAACCGGGACTAGAACTCAAGTGTCCTGGTTCCTAGTCCAGTCCTCTTTCTACTAGATCAATCTTTCATTAGTAAAAATGGGAAGTAATCCTTCTACCCAAAGATATTTTTAATGAATTTAAATTTAGGACAGTATTTTTTCTTTTTCTAGCAAAATAACAAAAAATTAAGACTCATGAAAATCTTACCCCCCTGAATTCAGATATGTAAAGTCATTAATATGGTATATATTAAGTATATATGGTATATATAATATGGTATATATTAAGTATTTGCAATTATTATTCTCAAAAGGTGTCCCTTGTTACCTCAAATACTCTTGGATTAAGGAATATGTGAAATTATTAAGTATGTAATATTAATCATAAAAACATTATAGCCATTATTTAGAGATGGTGTTTAATACTTCTGTGACATGAATTTATCACCAAAACCTTTTACCTTTTTCTAATAAGTAGATGTTAATTTAATATTAATGCTTGGCTTTGAACATCTTAAGTTTATGAACTGATATCTAGAATATCAAACTGTCCTGCCTTTGAAAAATCTCTTTTGTCCCTATTTCAATCTCTACACAGATTCACCAGGCATGCAAACTAATCTGCAGGAAATGCAAACGCCATGTGACTGATCTAACAGGTCAAGTGGTACAGGAAGGAACCAGGCGCTACAGACTCTGTAATGAGTGCCTTGCTGAAGTTGGCATAGACAGCCTCCCTATTGATTTGGAAGCTGAACAGCACCTTATATCCCCATCAGATGGAGATAAGGATTCCAGGTGGCACTTGAGTGAAGATGAGAATAGATCCTATGTGGAGATTGTAGAGGATGGGTCTGCTGATCTGGTCATACAACAGGTTGATGACAGTGAAGAAGAAGAAGAAAAGGAAATAAAGCCCAACATTAGGTAGCTGTCACGTGAACCAACAGGCTGGCATGTCTGCAGCTTACATTGACTTCCTTCATCTCTTTATTTCCATGGTCAGAGTCTGGTTAATAATTATCAGACTAACTTAAAAGTAATGACCTGATATAACTTGCATGCTTTCTGAACAGGCCATTGTATCTATTCTGAACTTTGTTGCCCTAAAATATGTTGCTGCACTGGAAAGAAAGCCTAGCTTGAGTTGGCATGATGAACGATTAATCCTCTTTTATGGCAAAGATACTTTTTTCTTTTAATATTGGAAGATCTACTTAGCAAAGCTTTTTCAAAAAAGTATTTTAAATAAATTTACCACAACCAGGATTTATGTAGGATAATTTCAAGGTGTTTCAAAAAACACAATCTACCAATATTGAATTTTCACAGGGAATCAGAGCACATTGAAGAGTCAACCTGACTGAACTACATCTTTCTATTAAGGTTCACAACAACTTACCATTATTCCAATATCCTAAATGTTTTAGGATTATGGTAGAAGACAAATCTAAAATGTTTGAAATCGTTCATATCTGAACTTTTTATCATTAAGTTAAGAAAGTACTCTTAATGTATCAGTATTGTTAAGAAAAACCAAAACAATGCCTAAAGTAGAGGCTGACCACAGATTATGTACAGATACCATTTTCTTAAAGCAGGAAACTAATTAATTGCCTAAAAGTCAAAGTAGTTTGTGAAGATCTGTCAGTATAGTTCTCTTCCTCTCTAAAGAAAACCTAAAACGAGAAAACTAGAGGATCTTAGCAGTTCTTAAGAGCAATTTCTAACATTTATGTACTGCAATATTATTTATAAAGTGCTCTTTCACATATTTTCTCAGTCAGCAAGGTAAATATTATTGCCTCTGATTTACAAATGAGGAAATTAAGGTCAGAAAGTTTTAGTGGTGGGACTGGAGACTGGACAGGTAAACAACCCTCTTTCAACTGTTTTTTCTCTGTAATGATGAAGAATTGAAGTCAAACCTCACTAATCTGCAGTAATTATAAAAAGACTATCAGAATTAGTATGAAAGAGGAATTTAATCATCTTCAACAACGTATAATATCTTGAACTAGAATTATTCAAATAGTGCTAAGTAATGTCCCTACAGTTATCTATTGATATGTTGTATGTTATTTATATGTAAATTTTATATACAAAACTATTTGAACAAATTATTCTCTTAAATGCTT